TAGTTGGGAAATGTATTCTGAAGCCCTGACCTCAGGGAGCCCCCACACTGATCAGAGAGACCAGACACCCACACCAGACAACTCAGGGCTGCTCGTGAGCTGAGGGATGGAGGGTGGGGGTGCTTAGGAGAGAGACAGAGTCATGGATGGGAGCAAGAGAGGGGGTCTTCCTGGAGGAAGAAGCCTCGCACTGAACCTCAGAAAAGCTGACTGATGGCATGAACATGTGGCAGATGGATCATACCCAGATCGGGGGCTGTCTCCCCTCACACAGACCTGTTTAGATGGCCCTTAAACCCCCATCAGGGGAAACTGTTCATGTTACAATAGGACTCCCCCCTCCCAAAATACCTTTACTACCTTAAAGTAGTCAAGTGCTATGCAAAGATTACATCTAAAAGGAGTTTTAGCATTCCTGTTACCTATCATGTGAGATAAGCCTTTTGTACTATTTACACATAAAGGTCAGTGACATCACCGACCCTTGCATGTTGAGGGAGCAGGAATGTTGGTGAGGATAGATGGTCCTGTGCGTCAAATTCTCACAGCCCATATGAGGAACTGGTCACCCGGGCAGGGGTGAGAAATAGATCTTCTCATTCTGGGCCAGAATCAGGGTAGGCCGGGGCGTTCCCCTGTCTGACTCACATGGAGAAGGAGAGTATGGCAGGAGGAGGGTAGGGCCCTGCCAGAGATGGACCTCCAGGGACTGAGTTTGAAAAATCTACGAGCTCCAAGCACCAAATTAAAAAACAATTAAGCTAATAGAATCTCCCCATTGTTTTTGTTCTTCAGCAAGTGCTCCTTAATAATTTCATTGCTTTTAACTCACCGGCTCAACGGAAGTGGATTTTTAAGTAACTTAATTATTTCTGAACTCACTACTTCCCAAAACAATCTAAGGTTTCCCCTCCAGCACTGCGACTCTGTGCTCTGTGAGCTATTTATTACAATTAACTTTATATTATATATCTAACATAAGCCAAAAAGAAAAATCCAGAAACAGCAGCCCATTAGCTAGAGAGCAGTACCCTGGTACAAACCACCCCCAACCATGGGCCATTCAGGATCTGCAGTCCAGTGGTGGAGGTCACAGAGTTGGCACAGGCTGAGGGCTGAGGGCCTTCTCAGGTGGGAGGACTTCCTGCTGGCTGGCGGTTGAGTGTGGGCCTGGAAGGGGTGACTTGGAGTTAGAGTCTGACAGTCAGTGCTAGGATTGAGAGAAAGGCAAGTGTGAGCTTTTTCCAACCTTCTCCCACTCTCCTTGTGAAACCTGCACTTCGGTACTTCCAGCATTTTTATTTGTTTGGTTTTGGCTTTTTTATTATTGAGGGACCATTGAGGGTACAAAGAGCCAGGTTACATTGCTTGCATTTGTTGGGTAAAGTCCCTCTAATAATAGTGTCCCGTCCCCAAGAGGTGTGTCACACACCATGACTCCACACCCCCCCCTTCTTCCCTCTCTCTGCTTGCCCGTTCCCCTCCCCCCACCATGTACTAGCATCAGTTGTCCTCATAGCAGAATTGAGTACATTGGATTCTTGCTTCTCCATTCTTGTGGTGCTTTACTAAGAAGAATATATTTCAATTCCATCCAAATTAATACAATAGATGTAAAGTTACCATCCTTTTTAGTGGCTGAATAGCATTCTATGGTATACATATACCACAGCTTATTAATCCATTCCTGGACTGGTGGGTATTTAGATTGTTTCCACAATTTGGCAATTGTAAATTGAGCTGCAATAAACAGTCTAGTGCAAATGTCCTTATAATAAAATGATTTTTTTTCTTCTGGGTAGATGCCCAGTAATGGAATTGCAGGATCAAATTGGAGGTATAGTTTGAGTTCTTTGAGGGTTCTCCATACTTCCTTCCAAAAGGGTTGTATTAATTTGCAGTCCCATCAGCAATGTAAAAGTGTTCCATTCTCCCCACATCCACGCCAGCATCTGCAGCTTTGAGTCTTTGTGATGTGTGCTGTTCTCACTGGGGTTAGGTGGTATTTCAGGGTGGTTTTGATTTGCATTTCTCTGATAATTAGGGATGATGAGCATTTTTTCATATGCTTGTTAGCTATTCATCTGTCTTCTTTAGAGAAGATTCTATTCATCTCACTTGCCCATTGATATAAGGGATTGTTGGCTTTTTGTTGTTGTTGTTGTTGTTGCTTAATTTTAGTTCTCTGTAGATTCTAGTCATCAAGTTTTGTCCGATTCATAATATGCAAATATCTTTCCCCATTCTGATGGTTGTCTATTTGCTTTGGTGGTTGTCTCTTTAGCTGTACAGAAGCTTTTCAGTTTAATTAAGTCCCATTTGTTTATTTTTGATTGTTTTTGCAATTGCCACTGGAGTCTTCTTCATAAAGTCTTTCCCCAGGCCGATACCATCAAGTGTTTTTCCCACAGTTTTTTCAAGGGTTTTTATTGTTTTGTGCCTTAGATTTAGATCTTTTATCCACCTGGAATCAATTTTAGTGAGTGAAGAAAGGTGCGGGTCTAGTTTCAGTCTTTTACAGGTGGTTATCCAGTTCTCCCAGCATCATTTATTGAATAGGGATTCTTTCCCCCAGTGTATATTCTTGTTGGTTTATCAAAGATCAGGTGGCTGTAACATGTTAGTTTCGTCTCATGATTTTCTATTCAATTCCAGATGTCTGTGTCTCTATTTTTGTGTCAATACCATACTGTTTTGATCACCATGGCCTTGTAGTACAGCCTGAAGTCTGATAGGCTAATGCCCCCAGCCTTGTTTTTATTACTAAGAATTGCCTTAGCTATACAGGGTTTTTTCTGCTTCCATACAAAATGAAGAATTATTTTTTCCAAGTCTTAAAAGTATGATGTTGGTATTTTAATGGGGATTGCATTGAAGTCTTAAAAGTATGATGTTGGTATTTTAATGGGGATTACTTTGGGAAGTATAGACATTTTAACAATATTGATTCTTCCCAGCCATGAGCATGGTATGTTCTTCCATTTGTTAACATCTTCTGCTATTTTCTTAGGGTTTTGTAGTTTTCTTTATAGAGGTCCTTCACCTCTTTTGTTAGGTATATTCCTAGGTATTTTATTTTCTTTGAAACTACTGTGAAGGGAATTGTGTCCTTGATTAGCAAAGGCTAATGATATACAAGGCTACTGATTTGTGGACATTGATTTTATAGCCTGAGACTTTACTGTGTTTTTTAAATCACTTCCAAGAGTCTTGTGGTTGAGTCTTTGGGGTTCTCTGAGTATAAGATCATATCACTGGCAAAGAGGAAGAGTTTGACCTGCACTGTACTCATTTGGATGCCCTTTATTACCTTTTCTTACCTGATTGTATTGGGTAGAACTTCCAGCACTATGGTGAATAGTAGTGATGATAGAAGACAATCTTTTCTTGTTCCAGTTCTGAGGGGAAAAGCTTTCAGTTTTATTCCATTCAGTATAATATTAGCTGTGGGTTCGGCATAGGTGGCCTCCATCAGTTTAAGAAATGTGCCTCCTATGCCTCTATATGCTTCAGAGTTCTTATGAGAAAAGGATGTTGAATTTTATCAAATGCTTTTTCTGCATCTATTGAGAATCATATGGTCTTTGTTTTTGCTTCTGTTGATATGGTGGATTATGTTTATGGACTTGCTAGCCTTGCATCCCTGGGATGAAACCTACTTGATTGTGATGTATGACTTTTTTAATGATAAGCTATAATCTACTGGCTAAGATTTTATTGAGAATTTTTGCATCTATATTCATTAGTGAAATTGGCCTGTAGTTTCCTTTTTAGTTGGGTCTTTCTACAGAGCAATGAATATAGTTTTTTTTGGTTTGTTCTTTTGAGACAGGGTCTCACTTTGTCCCCTCGAAAGAGTGCTGTGGCGTCATAGTTCATGGCAACCTCCAACTCTTGGGCTCAAATGATTCTCTTCCCTCAGCCTCCCAAGTAGCTGGGACTACAGACTCCCACCACATACCTACTGAGTTTTAGAGATGGGGGTCTCGCTGTTACTCAGGCTGATCTTGAACTCTTACGCTCAAGCAGTCTTCCCACCTCGGCCTCTCAGAGTGCTGGTGGTACTTCCAGCCTTGATGTTCTGCAATGTCTTTTCACATGTCACATTCCAATTTTAATACCAGCTTGTTCTTGAGCACCTAGAGACCTCACATGGTGGCCTCCTAGGCAACAGCACAGCCCTTGAGTCAAATTTTCCTCATTCCTGTTCACCACTACCTGAAGGCCTAGAGGTCAAGAACAAGAGATCTGAGTCAGGCCTTCTGGGTTTGAATCCTCTTGTCATCTTTGCACTTTGGGCAAGTAGCGTAATCATTTTGTGCCTCAATTTCTCCTCCTATAAAATGGATTGATACCATGGGCGGTGCCTGTGGCTCAAAGGAGTAGGGTGCCGGCCCCATATGCCAGAAGTGGTGGGTTCAAACCCAGCCCCAGCCAAAAACTGCAAAAAAAAAAGGGGGGGGAGGGGTTGATACCAGTACCTACCACATAGGGTTGTCATGAGGATCAAATTGGCAAGTTTATCTATGAAGCAATAAGAAGCAATAAGAGAGGACCTGGTGTGGGGTAAACCTGTGCTATACAAATGTATATTATCAAAATGGAAGTGCTAATACTGGTGAAAAGAAGTATGGCTCTCATGAATATAAAATGATTGAGATAAGGATGGAAATTATTTGGTACGCTAAAAGCAGTAGCCTGGTGCCCACAATTGGATTTAGTTTCAAAGTAAAGGAACAAAATAAAAGAAAGAGTACAAAGTGCTACTCAAAGATTCTTTCTAAAAGGGGTCTTAGCATGCTTGTTAGCTATTATATTAGATAAGCCTTTTGTACTATTTTCACATAAGTGACTCTCATGTAAACTTTCAGACACAACGTTGTGTTTCCTGGCCCAGGGGAGCAGAGGAACATGGACCTTGTTCCAGGGGCACCAGGGAGCCAGGGAGGGTTCTGGAGGGGAGAAGTGACTTGACTCTTGGTGGCTGGCATCTTTTGTAGGGAATGCCTACCGAGAATGCTTGGAGAATGGGACGTGGGCCTCAAGGATCAACTACTCACAGTGTGAGCCCATTTTGGATGATAAGGTGAGCAGCACTCCTGCCCTGATCCTCGTCCTCATACAAATAGGAGGACTCACATCAAGCACAGGGGATCTAAGGTGGGAGAATCAGTCTTTGCATCACTCAGCCACTCTTGTACCTCCTGCCCCTGCCCCCAGTGTTGTGTTCTGTGCTCCGTGACCCAGTGGTGGAGGTGAAGGAGGCAGACGTGGAGTCTTACCTTTTGGAGGCCCCAGCTGGTGGAGGACCCAGCAGTGGCATGTGACACAGAAAGGGGACAGCCATGGAACCGCTATTCTCTGCCAATTAATAGTCTGTGTGACTACACTCCTTCCTCCTCCTGGGCCTCAGTTTCCCCATCTGGTATTCTGATTCTGTGAGAAAGAATGCACAAGAAAACAAGTGCAGCCCCATAGGGACAGTGCCTATGGGGAGCTGGGTCCTGCTCAGGCTCTAGCTCTGGAACTGAATTCTATACTGCGGAGGTGCTAGCCTCCTCCCCATTAAAGCTGCGCCTCATCCCTGACCCAAAATAATATATCCAAGCTCTATCCCTATCCTCATTTACCCGACACAGTCCTCAGTGGGACTGGACCTTTCCCTAGGTGAGATTCAAGGGCAGGGGGAAAAACATTTGCTTACCCTGAGAAAATGATTCTGTAATATGTGAGCCAAAGGGGTTCTGCAGTGAGGGCACCGAGAGGGGTGGGCAGGATGGATCATACGGTTCGGAGATAAAGAGGCTCCCTGCAGGCCTATGTCCTCACATCTCCCTCCTTACAGCAGCCCATGAGCAGAAAACCAAAGTGAGAGGGTGAGGGGATGGCCCACCTGGCAGGAAGGACTATTTTATCACCGACTTTGTTTAGACTTGCCTGAATGTGGTGATAATAAAAAATGGAGTAACTTTGGCTTGAATAGTATTCCCAAATCCTCTGCTGTACCCACGGCAGACCAATCTCAGTGCACGCCCAGGTCTCCCATACGTTGCTACTTCTGAGGCAAGAGGGCAGGTTGTCCCCATTGCACAGACCTCAAAACTGAGACCCGAGATATAAACCAACTTACCCACTGTCACTTAGACATGTAGGGTCTGAGCTGAGACTAAACCCAAGCATGTCATAGTAGAGTCTAGATTTTTTTTTTTTTTGAGGCAGAGTCTTACTTCGTTGCCCAGGCTACAGTGCCATGGCATCAGCCTATCTGATAGCAAACTCAAATTCATGGGTTCAAGCGATCCTCATGCCTCTGCCTCCCAGATATCTGGGGCTACAGGTGCCCACTAATTTTTCTATATTTAGTAGAGATAGGGTCCCACTCTTACTCCGGCTGGTATCAAACGCCTAAGCTCAGGCAATCTGCCTGTCTTGCTCTCCCAGAGTGCTAGGATTACAGGTGTGAGCTACTGCACCCAGCCAAGTCTAGAATTTTTTTTAAAAAGATTCTATGCCAATATCTCTCCAAAAAGTGCTCCTCAAATGCATGTTGATGCTGGTGGCACATACCTGTAATCGCAGCTATTCAGGAGGCCAAGGCAGGAGGATCACTCGAGGACTGCAGTGAGCTAGGATCGCGCCTATCAGTAGCCACTGCACTCCAGCCTGGGCAACAGAGTGAGACCTTGTCTCTTAAAAAAAAAATAAAAAGCATGTTTAGAGGCCTGACCACAGCTATTTACAGTGACAAGAGCTGCTCAGGACCATAAAAGCAACATCTTGGAGCCAGATGTGGTGATAACACTTGCAGCCATTCTGCCCCCAAGACTAGGACACACAGGATGGCCATGGCTGGAGTGCCCACCCCACCCCCACGTGCCTGTGCCTCCATCTGCCCTGACTGTCTCTTCTTTCCAGCAGAGGAAGTATGACCTGCACTATCGCATTGCCCTTGCTGTCAACTACCTGGGCCACTGCATTTCCGTGGCAGCCCTGGTGGCCGCCTTCCTGCTTTTCCTGGCCCTGCGGTGAGTCCACGCTCCTCCCCTGCTTTCAACTCATCCCTCCTCCCCCGGGACTCCCTAGTCTCTCTCAGATAGTCTCACTTCCTCTCCAGGGGCCCAGGAACTAGTGGGCGGAGGGGGGTGGGCTGGGTCCTAGGGCCCAGCCTGGCAGTAGGCATGTGGGGTGCACAGGGGGACTGGCTCCTGGTACAGCCCTGCCCTCACCCAGGTGGAGCTTCCTGGTCCTCAGGAGGAACCTGTCCCAGCTGGCTCCCAACCCCCATTGACTCCTGACCTGGGCCTCCCACAGGAGTATCCGCTGTCTCCGGAATGTGATTCACTGGAACCTCATCACTACCTTTATCCTGCGCAATGTCATGTGGTTCCTGCTGCAGCTCATCGACCATGAAGTGCACGAAAGCAACGAGGTCACTGCTGGGGAGACTTGGGGCAAGACCTGGGGCACTCTGGGGCTCTGGGGAACTCTGGGATCTAGGGCTACCCACCTCTCCGCCCCACACTCTGGTGCAAAGCCAGACCTGAACTCAATTTATCCCTAGCCACAGTCCCACCAGCACATAGGGGTGTCCAGCCGGGGGCTTGGAAGTTGCACAAACCTATCCCAGACTTGAGTTTATCCCATTCTACTCCTTCTCTGTGAATTCAGATCCCCTCAAAGACCCCTTTGAGAAAGGAGACTGGAAATTACCTCTGTTGAACTTGACCTCACATAATCCCAGCAAGAGACCAGTAGGGATTATTTGCCCCCATGACATAGTCAAGGAATCTGAGGCTCAGGAAGGTTAAATGCCTCACTAAGGTCACACAGTGATGATGCCTCTCCATCAAGGGCCACCCCGCAAGTTATTGGTCTACCCTAGACTTGTGTCAACTACTGTGTGCTGTGTTCAAGTCATTGTAACACCAAAGACTAACATGGGGCTGATACAGAGCTCTTTGGCACAACATCAGAGACTTGTCAACACATTATTTTTGAGTGACCCATAACAGAGCACACATCAGCCTTGGTCCCACAATGAGCCCTGCCTTAGCATCAAACAAATTCAATCAAATTAGGATGCCTACTTAGAACAGAAAGACAGTGGCGGGAGGCTGAGATCAGGGCTGGGCTGGGGGAAAGCCGTGGGGCAGCCAGCAGCTCAGCATGGGAGGCACGTATCTGCAAGCCAGGCTGTCAGAGCTGGACAGAGAGGGGATGGGATGTCTGCAGAGGCAGGGAGCCCATGTCACAGAGCTACCCTGAGCCTGCTGTCCTCCTTGTTCCCCACATCCCAGCCTCAACTCTGAGGGGGCCGAAACCCTGGAAAGATGACAAAGTAGGTCTGTTGAAAAGGGCTGTGGCCCATAGTGTGGCTCTGGGCAGGGCTTTCCTCTCCCTGCACCCCAGGGGAGGTGCTTGGGAGAGTAGCCTTGCTCAGAGGGACAGACATGTTCCCCTCTGCTGGCAAGGCAAGTGACAGCAGAAGGCACGACCACAGTGCCAACACACATTTCTGAGGGCCTGCCCTTGTCATCCTCAGCCATGGCCTGAGGCAGTGCTAGTTACAATGAGGTTCGGATGGGTTAGGGGACTTGCCAGAGGCTCCATAATTAGCAAGTCTCCCTCCCGAGCCAGTGGTGATCAGAATTTCTCCCAAAGCCAGGGTCTTTGGAGAATCTCTATCTATGGCTGCGGCCCACTTTCATATACCCTTGACTCAACTTTAGTCACTTCTTTTGTTTCTTCTAAATTAAATTTCGTATTCCATCCCTAAATGGAAACCAGTCTGACTTGCTATGAATTGAAAGTGACTTATGGAAAATCGCAGTGAAAGTACAACAGGGTTATTCAATTCCAGCCTCTCCCATCAGAAAGCTCAGAGCCAGACTCCATCTTTCTTTTTTGAAATGAAAACTTAGAGGTGTGGTGCCTGTGGCTTAAGCAGCTAAGGCACCAGCCACATACACCTGAGCTGGCAGGTTCACATCCAGCCCGGGCCTACCAAACAACAATGATAGCTGCAACAAAATAATAGCCGGGCATTGTAGTGGGCACCTGTAGTCCCAGCTCCTTGGGAGGCGGAGGCAGGAGAATGGCTTGAGCCCAGGAGTTGGAGGTTGCTATGAGTTGTGATGCCATGGCACTCTACCCAGGGTGACAGCTTGAGGCTCTGTCTAAAAAAAAAAAAAAAAAAAAAAAAAAAAGTGAAAAATTAGAAAAAGATGGAAAGAAGTTTTAAAAAAACCACAGTAGTGCCAGTGGAGAATGGCTCCTTAACTTTATCCGAAAGAGTGAAAGAGCACTGGGGAGGGAGGAAGCTTCTCAGAGTGAGATTCCATGGCATTTGGTGCCATACCTGTGAGCCCCCTTTGGGAAGCTCTGTTCTCACGGCCCTTCCTGGGGTGGGAATGCTCCACCTGGCCTGGCCCCTGACAGCCCTGCCCCGCACAGGTGTGGTGCTGCTGCATCACCACCATCTTCAACTACTTCGTGGTGACCAACTTCTTCTGGATGTTCGTGGAGGGCATCTACCTGCACACGGCCATCGTCATGACCTATTCTACTGAGCGCCTGCCCAAGTGGCTCTTCCTCTTCATCGGATGGTGTGAGAGTCCCAGGGGAAGCAGGGCCTAGTGTGTGTGGTGGGGGGAGGGTGACAAGCTTGTTTCCCTTCATCTCAGGTCCAAAGCCCAGAGCTCAGCACTACCCACCACCCCCAGCACAGTCTGGAGGATGCAGCCACTTCCCTCCATGCTGGTGAGGAAGAAGGAGAGAATCCCTCCAAGGGATACTCCACAAACAGCCCTCTCCCTGCTCAGAAGACCAATCCAGAGACCTCGGTCTCAGGCTTCAAAAGAGAAAAGGGCTGGCTCTGCTCCCCAACACAGCATCTCAGATGGTCATGCCGACCTCGCCTGGAGAGAAGACTAAAAGTAGAGGGGTTGGGAGGCCAGGTCTAGTGACAGGGTACCTCTAGGGTCATAGGTGGCCTGAGGGCCACACTGTGTGTCCTGCAAGAGGGCCTGCTCATCTGTCCTCTGCAGCCCACATCTGTCCTTGCAGGTGTCCCCTGCCCCATCATCGTTGCCTGGGCCATTGGCAAACTCTACTATGAGAATGAACAGTAAGTGGGACAGCCCAGCTGTGGGGGCTCATGGGATGGGAGTGTTAGGACAGGTCAGCCTGGGGCTCCATCCAGGCATGGAGCAGGAATGGTAGCCTGTCATCCTTAAATTGGGAAAGTTCCCCTGCATACAGGGGTACTCGTATAGCGGGTCTCCAGGCAACTTCGCTTGCTGAATTCAGTTAGGAACGGTGGTTCCTTAAAGTGCCAACATGCGCAACTCTGTGGTCTTTGGTAAGGCCTCTGCCTCGGAGTGGGGTGGGGCAGGTCTGGCCTGGGGTGTAAGGAAGAGGCCAAGGTCTTGGGGCTTTCAGTCCACACAATATCCAGGGCTGTGTCCGTGAGGGCTTGACAGAGCCCAATAAAGCAGAACTTGTTTGTTCTGACACTCCAGTCTCTGTTTGGGTGTAGTGTCCCATCTTGGGGTCCCCCCTGTAGTGGAGACCATTATTTGCTGAGTCACAGCTCAGATGGCAGCAGCTCTGCCTGTGGGCCAGCCGAAGGTCATGCCACCAGCTGAGAGAAGTGGGGACTAGGCAATGTGGGTCTCTGCGTGCAGAGGTCCAACGGGTCCCAGAAGCTAGAGAGAACAAATGGGATTTGGGGAGTGGGGGCAAGAACTGGGGGAGTTCTAGGAGCTTGCTATTAGGAAGAACTTATAAAGGGTAAATGCTGCCAAGAAAGAGAGGGCTGCCTTGGTGGATAGTGAGCTTCCTGTCAACAGTGGTATTTAAGCAGAGACCAGAAACCCTAGGAGTAAGAGGCAGCAGGGGAGACTTCTGTGTGAGGCAGGTGTACACTGGATGGCCTCTGCGATTCCAGAAGACACAGAGTTCCCTGAAGTTGCTGGTGCTCCCTGGGGGCCAGTAGTTCCTGGCAGAGCCAGACTGGGTCCTGGTCTAGCCCTTCCCCTAAGACCCTAAAGTTTCTCCCTTCACCAGCATCCTCAGAGAATAAATCACAGCCTTGGCAGCCAACCTGGCAGTGGCTCCCTTCACTGGCCATGTGAGACTTAGCTCAGAGACCTGAAAACCAGGCTGGGGTGGGAGCAGGCCCCACCTGCTCATTGGCTGCTTTGTGTGGCTACAAGCCTGGTACCCGGAGTGGTGGATTCCCAGCAATGCGGGAACAGGTGGTCCAGGGCCACTGGCCCTGGGCCAGTGAGGGAGAGCTCAGCTCTCCCTTCATCCCTGTGCCTCCACACACCCAGCCCCACGCCCAACAGCCTGTGATAGGAGGAAGAAGAGACCCGGGCCTGCCCTCAGCTTGGGGAGATCAGACCCACCATGTGAGCAAAAGACGGCCTAGGGGTGGGACAAATGGTTGCTGGAGCTGGGGCCACGGACTGAGGCTTTTAGCCATGAAGGTCAGGTGTCAGGAAGGGTCAAGATGCAGAACCCTGGGCATGGTGTGGTCTGGAGTGGTCCCCCTATAGCCACCTCATCTTTGCAGGTGCTGGTTTGGCAAGGAGCCTGGCGACCTGGTGGACTACATATACCAGGGCCCCATCATCCTCGTGCTCCTGGTAGGTTCTCAGTGGGGAGTGGGACTAGGCTGAGTGCTGGGAGACAGCAGAGGACCCACTTAGATGGGGATGCTGGGAGGATGTGGTGGGGTAGCCCTCCTCATCCACTCTGTGTGCTGCCCCTGTACCCTGCACACACCACCCCACCAGCCTGCAGCACCAGCTCTCCCTTCCTTTTGCTCAGTAGCCTGTGTAGGCCCAGCCGCTCTGGACCTTGGGCTCTTTTGAAATCTAGGTGGATTTCTAGTGCTGTCCCAAGTCTTATATCCTCCTATGAGGTACAATGCTGAGATAGCCAGGTGAGCAGGCAGCTGGTGGCAAGAGCAGAGCCTGTGGGCATCCCCCTGAGCCCCCAGCGACACTCGGGGGCAGCCCACTGCCCCCAGCCTAGAGTACGGGGTACCAGAATGAAGCATAATGAGCAATTGTTCCCTGCCCAGCTCCCTGCCCTTCACCAAATGTATTCAAAACGGAGGTATAATTGCTGCCACGTCTTTAATCTACAATGAGCTTCAATTAAGATAGAGTTTAAGTAGAGGCTGCATTCTGCAAAAAGAACCCATTATATATCATACATTTGAAAAAAAAAAAAGACATACAGAAAAGGCCCATAAGAAATTGGCATTTACGTAAGACTTATTTCAGGCTTGGTAATTTCAGGCTTCTGTATGTACCAGCTTCCTTAAAGGGCCAGGGCTCCCTCTGGGAAACTAAGAGGAGAGCCAGCCTCCTCTTGCACACAGCAGGTGCCTAATGGATCTCTCTTTTGTCTACCTTGGAGACAATTGCTGTTTATCTCCTTTATTTCATTACTCTCTGGTCTTTGTGACTTCTGGCTTCATTCCACCGCCATCTTTGGAGCAGCCTTGATGTATGTGAACTGAGGAGGAGGAGAGTTTTCACTCACTGCCTGGGATTCCTCCCTCATTCGCTCCAGAGGCAGAAGCCAGCCCTTGTCAGCAGTTAGTGGGAGGAAGGATTGTCCTTGAACGTGCAGCCACAGCGAGTCACTGACCCCCTTAGAATGAATGGAAACCCCATAAGATCCGTCCTCTCCCAGCCAGCTGCCAGAGCCCACCCTGAAGGGATGGGGCCTGTGGTGAGCCTGGGATCCCCACTCCCAGGAAGGCTGGCCCACCCAGTGGTGAAGAAATGAGAGGAGGGGAGATAAGGGACCCATGAGGGAGGCCCAGTGTCAAGATTGTGGCCCCCTCACCCTGGCCTTCTCTTTCACACCTCTCTGCTCAAGAGCCCTTTGCTTGTCCTTGCACTGACAAGGACTTCCAGGTTCCAAGCTGAGTACCTCAGAAGCTCTCGATACCTGACTTCCAATCCGCACATCCCCGATGCCTGATAGAAGCAGAGAATTGCTCCCTATTTTGCAGATGAAGAAGCTAAGAGAGGTGAAATGGCCCAAGGTCATCACTGCTAGACTCAGGGACGGGTCTCCGGCCTGGTCCCCACCACTTGCTGCTGTCCTCTCAGTTGGATACCTCCCCAATAGTTCACAGCCGTGGTTCTGCTGCTAAGAGACACTCACTTATTTCTGGTTCCTGCAAGTAGTTGAGTTTGCAGGAAGCCTGGCTTCTTGCCAGTTGTAGTCACTGTAGTTGTCATGGGAAAGGATGTGCCTGTCATTAGCCCAGACATGGGGCTTAGTGCTCTCAAGTGTTGCAACCTGTGTGCTGATCCTCGCAAGCTCTGTGGTCATTCCCCTTGGGAGAGCCGAGAAAGCAGAAGCTCATTCATAGGAGTTAAGCAGCTTACCTGAAGCCATACAAATGCAAACTGAATAGTCAGAATCTGAGCTGAAGACCGGGATTTGGTGCCCATAATCCATTTAGTAGGTGGTCCTCATCTTCCGTTCTCAGCTCATCACCATTTCTTGAGTTTTTCTGAGCCCTTAGAAAAGATGCAGCCTCACCTCCAACTAGGCTGCAAGCCCTCTGCAAGCGGAGGCAGTGTCTGCCTATCCACTTCCCCATCTCTGGTGCCTGGCTCCGAGCCTGGTGCATGATGAATTGATTCACTGAATGAAAGAATGATTAAATAAACCTACAGAACAGGCCATAGGTTAGGGTGCTCAATGAAGAGCTGGGGTGTTTTCTTAGGCAGGGGGGTGGAGTACAAGAATGGAGAGCTAGAGAGCTCAGTGTGGGCGAGGAGAGCAGAGGCTCCCGGGAGAGGAGGAAGGTGCCTGTGGTATTGAGCAGGGAGAGACTGGAAAACAAGCTCTGAGGAAAAAATGAGTTTCAGGCGGTGTGGAGGCAGGCCGAGATGGGAGGGCAGCATCACTAAATGCTTGCCCAGTGTGAGGAGGAGGACAAAGACATTGTCTCCTGGATGTTCCACTCAGCCCTGTTCCTGCCTCTGCCCCAGCACAAGGAACAGTACCCTGTAGCCAAGAGGTGCTCAATAATCACGTGTTGACTGGATGGATGGATGGATGGATGGATGGTGAAAAGAGTGGGTGGACAAAAATTGTATGAATCAGTTGGTGGGTAGGTGGGTAGAAAGATGGATGGATGGATAGATGATGGATAAAGAAGTAGATGGACAATTGAATTAATTGGTTGGTGGGTAGATGGATTGATAGATGGAAAGATGGATGGGTGGATGTATGAATAGGAGTGGGTGAATGATTGCATGAATTGGTTACTGGGTTGATAGATGTTGGGTGAATAATATTTGATGCAAGGAGTTGTGGCAGAAATGAGAATATACTTGTATTCCAACAGACTACTCTCAGATAAGTCAGGAAAAGTCAGAAACAGTCAAGTCCTTTGTATTACTTATACGAAAATTAGGAATTGACCTATGTGTTAAGTTGAACTATGTCCCACAATCTGAGGGAATATGCCAGAAACCAGGAACTAGAAATTAGGTGAGCCTTAAAAGAGGGCAGTGAGCAGCAGGTCATGGCAGCCCCACGGAGGACTTCCCACCCCTACCCCTTCCCTGGGTCCCCCAGGGTTGAGCTCTTCCTGTCCCCCCAGTAGTCCTGTGATGTCTGCCTGTGTTCCCCCGCCCCCACTCCCAGCCCAAGATTTGTAATTTAGGAGGTTCCAGCCCAAGCCTAAGAAGCAATGAGTTTCCTAGATAGAGACTCGGAGGGGTGTTGTATGTATGTGGGTGCACACATGTGAGCCAGCAGACATCTCTGGGCTAATATGTGTCTCTCTCTGGCCCACTAGCCCTCTCCTAGGAAATAGTCCCCATGTGTCAGGACAACACGCTCTCATTCCCACCTGCTTACACTCAGAGGCAGATGAAGAGGAACGCAGGCGTGCTGTGTCCCCAGATCCACACTCCCATACACACACTGAGCAGACATGCTTGCACAAGTGCACAGACGACAGCAGAGCCACAGAGGGAAAGCTCCCAGTCACTGACTCACAGGCCCACAGGGACCCACACACAGCAGGAGGCTGCTTGGGAGAATACAGTTCCAGGGCCAGGGGCTGGAAGGGGAGACCCTGAGGCTGAGAGAAGACTGGGAATGAAGATAAATGAGGCCCTTCCTGAAGCCTCGGAGCAGCCCATTCATCTTCCCTGCCTCAGGGGCGTCTGTGACAGCCCTGGAGTCCCTGGGCACAGGGACAGGGTGCTGAGAGATTGATCGCTCCTCCTTCATTAGGCAGCTGTGTTATCAATCACTCTATCTGGCCCAGCCCACCACACTGGGCAGGACTGTCCTTGGGCAAAGGATCTCAGGCTGACCTAGAGCTGGTGACAGTGTGAGGGCCTGAGAGACCCTCAGTCAACAGGTGGGGAGAGAGGGGAAGGGAGGCCCACGTAGGGTCCGGAGCGGGAAGAGGGCTGGGGACCTTCTGCGGTCTGTGCCTTAGGCCTGGCAGGCTTCACACTCTTGTCCTCCATCTTTGGAGACTGCTTTCCCGCCTCTGATCTGGGGAGTCAGAAGTGGGCCCAGAGCAAGTGGGGGTGTCTTTGTAAGGGAGGAGCAGGGGGTGATGAGGGTGTGTGGGGGACGTGCTTCAGAACTCTGGGGGAGGTGGCCTCCCTCTTGCTCATCCCTAACTCACAGCCCCTCCTTTCCATCTGCCTCTCTCCTGCCAGATCAATTTTGTATTTCTGTTCAATATCGTCAGGATCCTAATGACAAAATTACGAGCCTCCAGCACCTCTGAGACCATCCAGTACAGGTATGTGAATGGGTGCCTTGACCCCGGCCAGGGAGAAACGAGGAGGCCATCTGGGCCATCCCCCTGCCTCTGGGCAGAGCCCTCTGTCCCAGTCCTCACCGGGGAGCTGGCTCACACCCCCAGAAGAAACCCCACCAAAGAGCCTTATGACGCTCCCACCTGAGTGAGGCCACCTGCAGTGGGCTGAGTCCTGTGTGGTCACCTCTTCCCCCAGAAAGGCGGTGAAGGCCACCCTGGTCCTCCTGCCCCTCCTGGGCGTCACCTACATGCTCTTCTTCGTCAATCCCGGGGAGGACGACCTGTCTCAGATCGTGTTCATCTACTTCAACTCCTTCCTGCAGTCCTTCCAGGTGGGGCCCACGACCAGAGGGGGCCCCACAGTGAGCTGCCCTGACTTCACTGAAATGGTCACGGGGGCCTGGTGCACCCATAGCTCAGTGTCGTGTGCACAAGATAAAAGGGCATGTGCTCCTGGCCTTGTCACCATACTGGCCTGCACCTACTGCTGTCCTGGATCCTGTTCTCAGTGCCCTGGGCCAGACCACACAAGTTGAGGGGCTGGACTCCTGGCTCTAGGACTATGCCCCGTGGAGACTGGGGTCCCACCAGCTCTGACCCCATGGGGCCCTGGGTCAGAGTGTTCCCCCACCCCCTCCCCTGCGATCCTGTCCCCAGATCCCCCCACCCAGGCAGACAGCTGCCCAGGCAGGTCACTGACCACTCTGTCCTTCCTTTCCAGGGTTTCTTTGTATCTGTATTCTACTGCTTCTTCAATGGAGAGGTATGAAGCCAGGCTCTCAAGGCCTCAGACCCCACTCCAGAGTGGTTCTGTTAAGCTGCCCAGCTTTTCAGGAGTGCCAGGGTCCCTGTCTCTGCTCAGATCTTCCCTGGAAGAGGGGAGGGGAAGGCCTGAGAAAGCACTTCAGCTTAGGGGGCCAGGAATCCTCAGCAGGGGCTGGAGACCATTTAGAAGGTCAACCCAAGACAGTATGCCAGCGCCCTGCACATGAACTTGGAGAGCAGGGTGAGCAGGGAAGCCCAGTCTGTAGGTTCTTATGGATGAGAGACACCTAATAGAGGTGGTGACAGGCAGAAGCTACCAGAAAGAGGTGAGGTGTGTGCCATGGAATCAGGTCTTCATGGACTCAGGCAGCAGAAACAAGACCACCCACCACAGAAAAGAGCACACACTCAAGTGGGCCCTGGGGAATGAGGCAGGCAGTGAAGCCTGGTTAGCTCCCAGGCCCAGCAAGGCTGACTCAGCAGAGATATACATGCAGCCAGTGCAGAGTGAGGATGTGGACCAAAGAACAGACCCAGGCCCTGGGTCCTGGGAGCTTCCAAACACTGCAGTGGAATGTAGATGCCCCCTCCACGCCCAGGCCACTCTGCCTGCATCTGCATAGGGCAGTGGCTGGGCGTCCACACAGCCCTGGGTCTCTGTCAATGAAAGCTCACCCTAGATGCTAAGCTCATCAGTGGAGACTGCCTCAGTGGGCCACCATGAATGTTTAGGGCACATTTATTCTGTTCAAACCATGTGCTTGGCCAGGATGCAGGGGACAACATCCATTTTCCAGAAAAACTTCAATTACAATACAAATGAGACTAAGATGGCAGCAGGTGGAATCAGGCTTAAAAATGACAGAACTGTTAGCTTCCCCTCCCAGGAGTGAGTGCTGAGTGAGGCAGGCAGGCCTTTCAGAGGTCTCAGAGGGGACACATGGTCTGTGGAGTGGTGGCCAGCTGGGTGAGCTGAAGGCTGAAGCTGGGTCCTCTGGTCCCAAGATGCTAAATCTGAGGTGGCAGAGTGAGTCAAGGAAGGGAAGGCAATGTGCCCAAAGGATACCAGATAATTTGGGGGACAGTGTGAGCAAAGGAAGCACTGGGGCCAGGCTTCTCCAACAAAGGGATGAGGAGGGGGCACCCCAGAGAGAGGCAGCAGGCCAGAGGGAAAGGGCCTCAGTTTTGGAGCCCATCAGCTCCTTGGTTTGAGGGCTGAGGGCAGAGGACAGGCAGCAGGGGTGGGGACTGTCCCAGAAGCCCAAGTTGAGCTCCACAGCTGACTGAGCCTCTCCCTCCCACAGGTGCGGTCGGCTGTTAGAAAGAGGTGGCACCGCTGGCAGGACCATCATTCCCTCCGAGTCCCTGTTGCACGGGCCATGTCCATCCCCACATCACCCACGCGGATCAGTTTCCATAGCATCAAACAAACAGCCACTGTGTGACCCCTGGCCACCTGCCCTGTCACTGCTCCCCATCCCCTGCTGCCCTCCTCTGGGCGCCTTGCTGTGCAGGTCCTGGTGGGGCAGGGGAAGGGAGGGTGGAGACGAGCACCCCAGCCTGGCAGGAGAGAGGCAGTGCAGCAGCAAAAGGGGACTCTGCCCACCCAGGGCCAGCTGGGGCCACAAGCTCTGTGCAGTTAGAAGCAGGGAATCACAGGAGTCCCCAAAGAGAGCAAGTCAGATGTCTCCAGGCATTGGCACCTCCCAGCCCCTGTGGTCAGAGCCTCCATAGCCCCATCCACAGGTGAGGAAACTGAGGCCCAGAGAGGGAAAGGGCAGACTTGCTGGCAGGCAGGTGGCCGTGTAGCCTGCTTGATGCCCTCTGCAGCTGCGGGGAGGAGTTCCTGCTGGAGTAAAGGCTGGCCTCCTCCCAGGGCTCTCATCTAGAGAAGTCTCACATGTATCCCACCCCTGACCAGGCTGTCCCCCTCTGTCCCCTCCCCAGCTATGTGAAGGATGCTGGCTTCCAAGCCTGGCTTCCTCTCCTGGAGACCTCTTCTTTGCTTGGTCCACAAATGAGAGGAGTGGGAAGGCATAAGTAGAAGACATCATGGTAGGTCAGGGCAGCCACCTTCTTTGGCAATGGGACACACAGTACAGGACAGAAGGAAGAGTAGAAGCCTGGGGACAGGGGAAGGAGAGGGGTAAACACAGCAAAACCCAGAGTATGCCCCAGAGCTCCTTCCTGCAGACTGGCTTCAGTCTCCCTTCCAGAAACATCCCTGCTCTCTGTGAAATAAACCATGCCTCTGGGACATGGTCTCCCATCAGGTCAAGTCAGCTAGGCTCCGAAGGGTGACATAAGCCAACAGCCACCTCCAGCCTCCTCAGCAGAGGCTGGCCCTGGCCCAGGGTTGGTTCCCCCTCTCAGACTGGTAGGTTTAGAGTCTTTATGGTCTAAGTGCCTGCAGGCAGGTCTGTCCTCATTACTCCCCACAGGTTAACATCTGCCCCAGCCCCCCCCCCCCAGCCATGGGCAGTTCAATTCTGCATAAAGGAGGTGTGCAGCTCACCCTGCACCAGGCCTGTCCCACAGGCCAAGGTGCTGGAATCTGGTGGGAAGGGTAGACAAGGCCCCTCAGTCTCAACCAACAGGGCAGCTTCTGGACTTGGCTTCCCTCCCTGTGCCCCCAGGACACTGGCAGCAGGCCAGCAGGTCCCGGTAGGGCTTTTGCTCTAGGTACCCCTGAAAAATAAATTTTGAAAAATGATGTCCCACATCTTGCACATTTTTAAGTTGACATCTAGTATTTTTTTACTTGTTTTAAAACATGCAAAGGATGTGATTTCTGGCATTTGGTAAATATTTACATTTTGAAACAAAACTGCCACAACACTTTAAACTGTATCAAATGGAATCTAAACACAGTGATTTAACATCCACCTTCATCTATTTTAAAAACATGTGATGCTAGGCAGGGCACAGTGGATCATGCCTGTCATCCTAGCACTCTAGGAGGCTGAATTGGGAGGACTACTTGAGCTCAGGAGTATGAGACCAGACTAAGCAAGAGCAAGACCCTCTACTAAAAATAGAAAAATTAGCTGGGCATTGTGGTGGGCACCTATAGTCCCAGCTACTCTGGAGACTGAGGTAGGAGGATCGCTTGAACCCAGGAGTCTGAGCTTGCTATGAGCAAGACTGACCCCATGGCACCCTAGCTTAGGCAACAGAATGAGTCTCTAACGGTCAGAAATTTTACATTGTTCTCTTTCTTTGTTTTGTATCTTTATTTCATTGCCCATGAGGAATTTTATACTGATGCAATATTTTTATGGTTGAAAATCTTTTATTGCTTACCTATCATACTTCTCTGCCGCAAAATATATTTATAAATTGAAACTAAAATATTTCATTTCCTGTGACCAGAGGTTGGAATTTTTTTTAAAAGAGTCTTCTAGATTGAGTTATTACACCTGTTTTTTGATATAAAATATAGAGAACGACTGATTAAAACATAGATAACTGAAAGTTTTTATAAATCATTAAACCTGAAAAGGAAAATTTATTAAAAATACCTCTTAATGAAATGGAAAAGAATCTACTTGTTCATTTATCTATGGGTGAATATTTATTGCTAGAATTAATCAGGGCTCAGCATCAATTCTTTTCCTGTTCTCATAGTTTATAGCTATGCGTGATGAGAAGCCTTTTCAAATAAATAAGTAGGTGATCAAGCAATGTCACTCAATTTTCTATACGCCTTCTGAGATGTATGTCCAAAATTATACATTGATTTGTCGTCAAAAAATGATCTTTCAGCTGGCCATTTGATTAAGTCCTCTTTAAATTTGGCTGGAAAAAAAAAAGAATTGAAAATTACCAGATGTGCAGGAGGCTTCGCCACTTATGTTGGTAGCTCCTCCCATGTCTCCCCACCAGCCCTAGGCAGAGTGTGCAGCAGGCTGCATGCAAACCCAGATCCTCTTGTCAGGTGGGTTGGGCCCCTGATTTTGTCTGCTCAAGAGGCAGGACACAGGCGTGTCTTGGGAGTCTTCCTGTGCACGCAGGGGCAGAGTCATGGCCGCATCCACTCGCATCATGGGGCTATCACAGAGCAAAGAACTGCAAAAGGCTTGGCCCTGAGGGGCCACTTTGGAGAGCTGTCAGGAGAGACTGAGCGCGTGCTCATCAGAGCAGACACCCCAGAGCCTCAGTGACAAGTCCTGGCCACTCATCACTGCTCCTTAGATGCAGCCCTTGGCTCATTATCCAGCATGTCCTCTGCTCCCTAGGGGGACTGGGGGCCTGCCCAGGAATCAAAGTTGCTAACCTCTGCTCAGTGCTCCTCCTAGGTCCCACCCCGGCCCTGGATTCCCTCACTAACCAGTCTCCTGGTCATGGCCCTTGCTGAGCTGTCCTTGAAATGCCACTGGAGCCATAGGCCATCTCTGAGTCCCCACTTGTCATCCTCGTTAGGCACTTGTTCCTGCAGCCAACCCAGTCCTCATTAGTGTTGGCTTCAGTGTCAGCAGCCCTTCCTGGAACTGGCCTTCCGGGAAAGTGTCCTCATTAGCAGACCCTCCTCCACAGAGGCAAGTTCCAGCACCCAAACCCCAGGGCACTCAGACTCTTGTGTTTAACCCTTTCACCCAACCTGATTTACAAAGCTGGAAGACTTGGGCCCTCTTGGGGATCTCCTGCACCAGTCTCCTGGTAGCACTCCCAGTGAGAGACCACAGGGAAGGACCTGCCCCCACATGGCCCAAGCCCTAGTCCATCCTCAGAGTGGGGCCAGAAGGTGCCTGCCGTGCCACAGGCCAGTACATGACACAGACAGCAGCAAGAGTGGCCAGTGATGGATTTGTGGGGCAGGAAGCAAAAGATGAGGGTGGCATTTCCTTCCCAAGGGCCCCTGCTGGGAGGGGGCACAGTGGAGGTGCTGCCCAGTGGAGGATGGCCGACTGCAGAGGACGCATGGTGGAGCCAAGACACTCACAGAAGTGCCCGCCACCATACCAACTTTCACAGAGATGGAGGCAAACACTGGGGCCACAGACAGGAAGGCCCGGAGGGACACCACACAAGTGCATGAACACAAGCCAGACTCGATGGAACTCACAAGTAGATCCAGAGACAAAAACACACACACATCCCCCGTCACTCATTCCCCCTTCACTGGTGGCTGAGAGAAGACTCACAGATCCAGGCCTGGTCTCCTTGTCCCATGGCATTGTGAGGAGATGCCTTGATCTCCTGTGTGCCCTTTTCCCTCCTAAGATAGCCTCCTCCCGTCTAGCTGCCTTGCCGCACCTGCTCCCCACCTGCCATGGGCCTCGGGAGGCACTCAAGAAAGCGAGAGCTGCACACAGAACACCTTCACAGAACACCATGTGGTGCCAGGTGTGGAAGTGACAGGAATATGCCATAGTTCTTGTTCCAAGAAACTCAAGAGTCCAGGTGAGAAGTAAGGGCCCTGAGAACAGTGAGGTGTAAAAGCCGGCCAAGGTTTTGGGCCTCTGCATCTTGGCCTGGGCGGGGCTCTCCCTTTGTTTCTGTACGTCACAGTGGGGAGAAGCAGGTGAGCCCTGCAGCCTGCTGGTGTTCTCAGCTCTGTCCATCTCCTAACCCACACCCAGACAAGACAATGGACACAAGGACCTCAGCTGCCTTTGCCACTTTATTCCTGTCCCATCACCCAGGCCTGGTGCAGAGAGGGAAGTGGGGAGCCCGTGTGTGCAGCTCTCACTTTCTCGAGTGCCTCCCGAGGCCCATGGCAGGTGGGGAGCACGTGCGGCAAGGCAGCTAGATGGGAGGAGGCTATCTTAGGAAGGAAAAGGGCACACAGGAGATCAAGGCATCCCCTCACAATGCCATGGGGCAGGGAGACCAGGCCTGGATCTGTGAGTCCTCTCTCAGCCACCAGAAGGGTTTGGCAGTTAAGAGCCGTCCCTCAGTGGAACTGGTGACTGGGGTGGCAGGGAGCATAGGAGGCGGAGTTCCCTCTAGCAGGGAGTCTGGTGGGGGCCCACTGCTGACAGCACACCTGGGCCTCTCATCAGGACCAACAGGGTGGCATGCTGGAAAGCAGGCTTTGGGAGTCAGGCAAGCTAGGGGTCTAGGAGTCCGTACTTTTAACAAGCCCCGTGCCCAGTGACTCTGCTGTAGTGTGGGAGCCCGTGAGCAAGGAGACATCCCTTGTCTCTTCTTTCCAACACACTCTCTCTCTCACAGTGTGAAAAATGTGCTGTAGAAAGTGAAGGCGAGTGACTGCCTTTCTGGAAACCTCTAAGGGAAGGCAGCTATGGCAGGAGAGGAGACACATTTAAGACATGCGGATTTACTCATCAGTATGCCCAATACTATTTCAGGCTCTGCCCCTAAGCCACCACAGATTTCCCTGAGGGGGCTGTACCACTCAGGCCCAAGAGGGAGAATCTATTCTCTGCCCCTGTACCCTGCCTCTGCCCTACCCTGACCTGAGCCCAGAGGCCAGCTCAGACTGAGGGCTTCCCCCACCCCTGGCCACATCCAGCAGACCCTCCTGCAGGTGTCCCAGATTAACCCCACTCCAAGGAGCCCCAGGCCTCAGTGGATCTTGACTTCCCACTGGCAGCTGCTGCAGCCTGTCCTTCACCAGTTCCTTAATGTGGGATGGTTTGCCCCAGCTAGTCCAGGCTTATTCCTGATTTCCTGGTGTAATTAGTAGCATACCTTTCACTCTCAGAAGAACTCTGGTTTGGAAAAATAAACTGTATGATCACCCTACTTAAACCCCACATTTG